CCTAAAAGAAGTTTCAAAGCTGAAAAGTTACCTTTGTAAACTGACAATAAAAATTGCGCAATATTCCGCATAAAAATACTCAAATTTTCGAAAAATTGCACATAACTTTATTTCAAAATCTATCTTGTTTATATCGCATTTGTCTTGAAAGAACAGAGTTTTATAAGAAAAAATCTGTAACTTGTTTCCATATTAATGTTGTAGGAAGACACCGAAAAAAAATTTGAATTTTAGCAATTAGGAATCTCAACGCAAACATGACTGCACCATTCTCATAAATGTTCTTCACAATATCCAGCAATAAAACTTTATAAAAAATATCTCGTGCCTTTTTTTTCTGAAAATTTTGAAATTGTCCCAGAGGCTTCCTCTAAAGTATCCCCAAATTCGTACATCGGTGTCAAGTTCAAGGGCCGTATCCATTATCCATGTCGATGGGAAATATCAATTTTGAAGAAAATCCACAGAACGGTTATATTAGCAGCTAGCGTTATTCATAGAGACGGTCAGGCCGAAGGACGGACAGACAGACAGACAGACATTTAGGCGTCAGTTTTCGGTATCGAGGATCTACAAATCATGGATTTTGGCTACACCACATATCAGAGGAATTTTTTCTATATTTAACAACATGATGTATCCACTTTCCCATTACCAAGGTAGTTAGGAATTTTGTGTCAAAAACTCACCATATTTTCTCGGATCATAATGTGTAAGCAGTAGAGAGAAAGTAATATATTGGGAATAAAACACCAAAATGTTGAATTTGGAAAGAAAGTAGGTAAAACAAAACGATTTGGTTCTTGGATACTAGTTCTTCAAAATAATGGCAATTTTTAAGAAGAAAATTTGGACAATATGCAAAAGTTCAATTTCATTCAAAATCAAAAATATTTTGCAGAGTTAACAAACCTTTTGAACTCCTCTGGAACTGCTATGCCACACGATATCGTGTCCCTGCGTTTTAAAACGCTGCATTGTGGGTTACAAGTAATTTCTTGAGTATTTTAACCATTGTAAACCTATGATCTCTGGTTTTATTTTGTTTATATGGTTGTGTGTAAACCCACCTTCATGAAGTCACACCAACGCGGGTTGTTTTGCATGGCGATATATGCATCATACATTGGTGAATTGACCACAAACAACAGAAGAGCCTCTCCTCCTGGTCGCAGCAGGCTGTGGATGTTGCGAAGAGCAGTTCTATGAACAGCAACGGTGGAAAGCAACATCAACAACTAAGCAAGTTGACGTACCGAAACATATCCTACTTAACGTATTCTAGATCATGTTTAAATCTATACACAGAAACATGGGGATGTTTCCTCTACATTTGTTTGAAAAAATGTATAAAAAACTGTTTATATATATAAACTATAAAATATATATCTCTAATCACAAATATTTGACCCCGGTTAATTAGCTGATAAGTCATAAATGCTTAAATTTTACAGGAGAGACCAAAAAACATTCTAATGGTGCTGTAAATAAGAGATTCATGATTTCAAACACAAAATACATACAAATTATATATATACATATATATATATATATATATATATATATATATATATATTCACCCATACTATATAAACTATTAATATAATTATTAATATATACTAATTAACCGGTTGAAATATTTGTGATTAGAGACCCACAGTGAATTACATCCAAATAGTATATTTAAAACATATTAGACCTAACTAGTTTGGGGGACTATTCCCATCTTCAGAGGTACAACACAAGCAACATTATAATATAAAACATGAACAAATGTTTAATTAATAAAATGTATTTTTAAAAACAGATATAATGGATTAATTTCTGTGAAGATAATACTTACTCAGCTAACATGGTTAAATATGTAATAAATGTGTTATTTATATTCTATGTAAAATATATTATTACCTGAGTTAATATTATCTTGAATAATATATCTTACTACCCCTAGTAGCGCTAAGTATTCCGAGGCGATGGAATGGCAAAGAAACGTGGCTAGCCCCCCATCTCACCGTTGGTCGGCCACCCAGTGGAGCGCGTAGAAGGAGAAGACCTTGTGGAACCCCTG